CCCCTCTCCCCTGATGACATCGGGAAGATGTCCAGCTCCCCTCCGCGTATTGTTTTTGACACACAGGACTCCCGGGATTTGGGTTTGCGTCTTTTGGGATGTGTTGTTCGTTTCTTCCCAAAATGTGGTTCCCGCTGAGGTGTTGACCCTACCTCTGCGCCTCTGGTTGTCCCAAATCGTGTTCCCGTTGCAGCGCGGGCGTTTTCGGTCCTTCCAAATAGGCCCCGAAATTTACAAAATTGCTCCCGAAAAAACCATCGGAAGTGATTCCACATTCGGTGTCGATTCGTTGATTTTTTGGGCCGCTGAAGCCCCACCCCCTTGGGGGCGTCGTCGCTTTCAAGAAATATCAATCGGGAGCCCCGTTTCTGCTTTGAGAAGGCGATGTTGAAAGCAGAGCCAACGGGTGCTCTCCATCAGCCCCTCCTTGTGTGGAGCTTTTCGGGGGGCCCAAGGAGCTGGACATGGAGCCACGATTCCAGACTGGCCCAGACCTCTCGAAGACGATCCATTTACCCTCCAAGGAACCCGGCGCCGTGCCAAGACATGTTGTGCGGTGTTGTGTTATGCGCCGCTGTGCGATGCCATGCTTTGCATTGCAATGCTTGGTGATGCAATGCTTCGCTGCACAACGCCACGTCATGTTATGGCATGATACGGTCTGCCGTGCTCTTCTACGCCATGCAATGCCGTGCTCTACCATGCATCGCGTACCCTCTCGCGATCACTGCCCTATTCAACATCCGCCTGTGCGAATAGAGAGGATATCTACGCCATGGTAAGGGATGGAAGGGCATCAGATATGACGCGAGCGCACCCAGCTTGCCCTTCCCCCCTCCCCCCTCTCACCTCCCCCGAACGTCCCCGGACTTCTCCGAAGCAGTCTCAGTGGCCCCGAGGGCCGTGCAGATGACTTCAAGAGGCATAGGAGAGCACCAGGGGAGTCCAGAAAGCCTTAAGAAGGCGCCAAGGAGGCCCACCAGACCCTCCAGAGGCCCCCGAGAGATCCCGAGGAGCCCCCCTCTCACGAGGCCCCAGTCGGCCTTCAAGCGGCCCTTCCTGCCTCCTCCCTCCTTGGCTCTCCCTCCTCCTCCTCGCCCCTCTCCCCGCGGTCGTATAGCCTCCCTTGTTGCCCTTTCTCGCTTCTCTCCTCCCCCTCCTCGATCTCCCCTCCCCCTCCTCGATCTCCTGGCAGCAGGTTGCGCCAGCAAACTGAAGTAGCGAGAAGCACCACGCTTCAGCATCAAGCAGCATCACAGCATCAAGCAGCAGCAGTAGCGAGCAGTAGCAGCACGAAGCAGGCAACAGCAGTAGCAGCAGCAGCAGCAGCAGCGGCGGCAGCGGCAGCGGCAGCGGCGGCGGCGGCAGCAGCATCAGCATACAGCAACCGCAAGCAGTAGGTAGCGGGCAGCAGCACGCATGAAGCAGAACTGACCATCAGCAGCACCCTGGCACAGAAACGCAGCAGCGGCAAGCATTGCCAACAGCACGCAACAGCGACAGCGAGCAGCAGCATGCAGTGGCATGCGCGGAATGCGAAGTTCGAGCCCCACGTTATCATTTCAGTCGTTCGGCAGCAGGTCCACAGTCATATGCCAGTTCGTGCCGGTCTCACGGCCTCAGTCCACGAGTCAGCCCAAGCTTCTCCCAATTCTCTCCTGCACTGCTGGGAGCAGCGCGTGGTATTCGGAAATCGTGGCAAAGCCCGGAGAGGCCCGCCGTGAGGGCCCGGAGAGAGGGCTTGCGTCTCCCAGACGGCCCAAGCGAGTCCAAGAGGCCTCCAAGTTCGCCGACGATGCCTCCAATGCAGCTGAGGATGGCTTCAAGGTGGCCCGAAGATAGCCCAAGGCGGCCTCCCAGAGCGCTCCAAGAGCACTCCCAGCAGGGCCTCCCAGTGCAAAATTCTATGTTTTGTTTGTTTGTTCCTGTAGGGTTTTCCAACAGTCGTACCATACACGACTCTTGGGCCTTTGCAGCATCCACGACGGCCCAACAGCCAAGATCGCCCCAAGCCAGCCCAAGAGGCCTCCAAAGAAAATCCCAAGGTGGCTCGAGGGAGCCTCAAGACGGCCCAGAGCCCCAAGACGGCCGAAAAGGCGCCCAAGACGACCCAAGATGGACCAGAGATGGCCCACTAGAGCCCCAGGTGCACCCCAAGACGGCCCCAAGAGCGCTCACAGAGAGCTCGAAGAGGCCCCCCAACAGATGGTACAACGCACCCCCATGTTGTAGCATCCGTCGGGTGCTTTCTGAGGGTCCTCTTGGTGCCGTCTTCGGGCCCTCTCGAGCCTCTGTTGAGCCAATTTTCGAGGTCCTCCGGGTACTCCCAGAACCACCTGCAAGGCTGCAAGACGGCCCAAGAGAGCTGCGAGGCAGCTCAGGGAAAGCCCCAAGACGGCCCAAGAGACGCCCAAGACGACCCAAGATGGCCCAGAGATGGTCCCACCGCGGTCCCTTGCCAGGGCACCTGCGGATCTGCTCCGCGGGTGCACACTAGTCCTTCCTACAATGGCCAGACCGGCGCTCGCGGAGCTACCGATCGGTGGCAGCAGACCAGCCCTCTCCGGCGTCCCCTGCGAGTCCCAGCAGGCCTCGACGCGCTTCCAAGATGGCCCAAGAGCGTTCCGAGACGCACGAGGAGGCCCCCAAGAGGGCCTCCAGACGGCCGAAGACGGTCCAAGAGGCTTCTCAAACGCTCCAAGTGGGCTCCACGACGAGCCCCAAGAGAGCCCGAACACCGAAAAAGCGTATTTTTTCGGGAAACGTACATTTTGGCAGTTCCCGGGCTTGCCCTCTTCATGGCGTCCAAGACGGCCATATCAAATCCCAATATGGCCCCAGGACGGCTCCTGAGGCGCCCCTGGCGGCCCACGAGATACCCAAGACAGCCTCAAGAGCGGCCCAGGACGACCCAACACGACCCCCAGACGGTGCCCAGACTGCTCCAGAGAGACGCCCAAGGCGGCCCCAGGCAACCCCCAGACGATCCCGACAACGCCTCGCACGGCCTCCAGACGGCCCAAGAGGTTTCTAAAACGGCTCAAGTGGGCTCCACGACGAGCCCCAAGAGAGCCCGAACACCAAAAAATCGTTTCATTTCCTTTTGAAAACGTGCATTTTGGCAGTTCCCGGGCTTGCCCTCTTCATAGCGTCAAAGACAACCATACAGGGGCCCAAGATGGCTCCAGGACTGCTGCTGAGGCGCCCCTGGCGGCCCACGGGGTAGCCAAGACAGCCTCAAGAGCGGCCCAGGACGACTTAACACGACCCCCAGACGGTGCCCAGGCTGCTCCAGAGACGCCCAAGGCGGCCCCAGGCAACCCTCAGACGGTCCCGACAACGCCTCGCACGGCCTCCAGACGGCCCGAGGCATCCAAAACGCCCCAAGTGGGCTCCACGACGAGCCCCAAGAGAGCCCGAACACCGACAAATCGTTTCATTTCCTTTTTGGAAAACGTGCATTTTGGCAGTTCCCGGGCCTGGCCTCTTCATAGCGGCCAAGACGGCCATACAGGGGCCCAAGATGGCCCCAGGACGGCTTCTGAGGCGCCCCTGGCGGCCCACGGGGTAGCCAAGACAGCCTCAATAGCGGCCCAGGACGACTTGACACGACCCCCAGACGGTGCCCAGACTGCTCCAGAGACGCCCAAGGCGGCCCCAGGCAACCCTCAGACGGCCCCAACAACGCAACACCGAAAAAGCATCCCATTTCCTCTGGGAAGAGTGCATTTTCGCAGTTATCGGGCTTGCCCTCTTCATAGCGTCCAAGACAACCATACAGGGGCCCAAGATGGCCCGAGGACGGTTCCTGAGGCGCCGCTGGCGGCCCACGGGGTAGCCAAGACAGCCTCAAGAGCGGCCCAGGACGGCCCAACACGACCCCCAGACGGTGCCCAGACTGCTCCAGAGACGCCCAAGGCGGCCCCAGACAACCCCCAGACGGCCCTGGACCGCCTCCACACGGCCCAAGGGGCACCCGAGACAGCCCCAGAGGGCCCCAGGAGGCTTCCAGGAGGCCGAAAAGAAGCGCTGAGAGGCTCCTGAGCGAAGACGGCACCAACAGCAGCCCAAGACGGCCTACGACCGCCACAGACGGTCCCAAAACGGCTCCCAGCGCACCATGGGGCTCTGATGCTTGTTCGGCGCTCCCTGCCGGATTTGGCCCAAAATCCCTCGCCCCTTTTGTCGGTCTGGAACCCTCTCCGCGGCTTCTTGTGGCCATGCCGTGTTTCGCTCTTCTGGTGCCCAGAATCGCATCGCAACGGGGGCTTCAGAGCTTCTGGAGGTTTTTGAAACAGGCCCCAGAGGTCTCTTGGCGGGTCTCGGCCTTGCCCTATCATGATAGGGCAGGTTTTTGGACGCTATCGGCGATCATTTCGGGCCATCTTTGGGGCTTCATTCCCCAATCAGAGCTTGCTTCTGTAGGGGTCCTAGCGGATATAAAGCTGAGGTGAGGTGGGCGGCCGATTTCGGTGGCCGGGGCCGGGTGCCCGGATGCCCGGGGGTGCCCGGGTGGCCGATTTCGGTGGCCGGGCCCGGGTTCCCAGGTGCCCAGGGGTGCCCGGGTGCCCGGGGGTGCCCTGGGGTGCCCAATAGCCTAATAGCCCAATAGCCCTATAGCCCTATAGCCCTATAGCCGTATAGCCCTATAGCCCTGTAGCCCTATAGCCTTAAATCCTTACAGCCCTAATAGCCTTATATCCCTATAGCCCCATAGCCCATATAGCTCTATAGCCCCATAGCCCTATAGCCCTATGGCCCTATAGGTCACAGTCCTATAGCCCGATAGCCCTATAGCCCGATAGCCGTATAGCCCTATAGCCCAATAGCCCTATAGCCCTATAGCCCTAACAAAAATCTGATCGGGGTTTGTCTCCGGTATCATGGGATATTTTGGCGGGTCTCGGCCCTGCCCTATCATTATAGGGCAGGTTTTCGACGCCATTTGGGCCCACTTTCGGCCATCTCCGCCAGTGGCAGCAAGCACAGGTACACATTAGTAAGCTACAACGCTGGGATCAGCGCGTGCGTGAAGGGCGAGCAGTGGCAGCGGGCTTTAGCATTGCTCAGCGAGATGTGGGGGGCGAAGCTGGTGCCCAACGTGATCTCAACTACATGCCGCGATCAGTGCGCGCGAAAGACATCCCTGTGCACGCTCTCCCATGACGCCCTCAGGCAGCCCCAAGAGGGTTTCCAGACGGCTTCCAGGCTCACACTTCGCTGGTTTCTTGCAGCTTGGTATATGGTTTGTACTTGTCGCATTCTCGCCTTTTCGGGCTTCAGGCAGCCCACGATTGACGGCCCGAAGATTCTCACATATTGCGCCAAGACGACACAAGAGGCTGCCATCTTAGCTTCCCGTGTGGCAGCCCAGGGAAGTCCAGAGCCGTCCAGCCAAATCCTTCAGTGCTCCCAGGGAGAGGCCCCCAGGGGGGCCCAAAGGCCTTTTCTGATCCTTCACTTGGGCAACCATCACAGTGACAGCCCCGAGGGGCGGTGTGGCCCTTCTCACTCTCGCGGCTCCCGCGGGCCTCTCTTGGCTTCCCTTGCGACCACCTGGGCCGCTCCAGAGTTGGAGCTCCTGAGCTGGGCCCAGGCCTCCCAGGGCCGTTGGGCGCCCCTCTTGGGGCTCTCTCGGGCCTCTCGTGGCCTCCCTTGTGACCACCTCGGCCACTCCAGAGCCAGCTGGCCAGATCCTTGTGGGCTCCTGGCATGGCCCCTACCACTAGGCCCCCAAGACTGCCTACGCCGGCCCAAGAGAAGGTTCCGAGCTGGCCCAGGAGAGCCCCAGGACGGCCCAGGAGAGCCCCAAGACGGCGTAAGATGATTCTGAGATGCCGCTCCGATGACCCACGGCCAGTTCAGCTTCGCTCCCTCAATTCGCTCCGGGCCATGGCCCGCTCCCTCCAGATGCGTCATCCCTCGTTGCCTCAATTTTCACAGCTCCTCCCCTTTTCTCTTTAGCGGAGAGCACGGATTCTTCTCAGACACTCGGCGACGTGGTCATCCTTCTTCATCCGCTTCTTCCCTGCTCACCCTTTCCTCCTTCGACACTCGCACCCCGCAGCTCTCCCCCCGTTCCTGCTCCGCCTGGCCGCTCCCGTATTCTTCTCAGCCCCTCTCCGGGAACTCTCAGGCTAGAGGCCGCCGCAACCATCACCGTGCATAAGCTCTGGTACACCCCACAGGCACGGCCCGCGGGTCCTTCGACCGCGAGGGTCCACACCACGGGTACACACTAGGCAGCTACAGCGCTGTGATCAGTGTGTGCGAGAAGGGCGAGCAATGGCAGCGGGCGCTGACGCTGCTCAGCGAGATGTCGAAGGCGAAGTTGGAGCACACTGTCATCTCTACAGTATTGGGATCATTGCATGCGAGAGCAGGATGGCCCAGGATTCCTGGACTGCCCAGGAATGCCCGAGGGCGACCGAGAGAGGCTGCAAAATGGCTCTGCGCAGGGCCCCCAAGAGGCGAACGTCATTCAAGTTCAGTAGTTTCCCGTTGAGATTTCTCATACGTGCTCTCCATTTCCCCGCTTTAGCTAGCACGTATGTACTCTTCATTCTTCCGCTCTGGGCAGCTCGAAGAAGTACCCCAGGGACTTCGCAAGGACACACGAGGCCCTCCAGAGCCCCCCAAGAGCGCCCAAGACACCTTAACTATGATCCAAGATGGCCCTGGCTGGCTCCTCGACGGCGCCATGACGTCTCAAAGAAAACGCAAGACCGCCCTAAGATGTCCCCAAGATTTCCCTTGGGGCCCCAGAGCTCCCAAAGAGCCTCAGGAGCCTCTGACAGAGGGCCCCGAGAGAGCCCCGAGACAGCTCCTAGGGGCCTAACAAATGGCATGAAAGAAGGGCGACTCAGGGCGAAGCGTCGATCGCAACGAGCAAAAGAGCCAGTGCCAGCAGGACCAGTAGCAGCAGCCAAGAGGGACAATCACCCGCAATAAGGAGCAAAGCCGAGACAGCCCGAAGACAGCCGCAAGAGGGCTTCGGACTGGGCAGCGAAGTCAGCCTGCAAGCAGCAGAACCAACAGCTGCAGAGCTTGGAGCAGCAGCCAGGAGGATGACTCCGTAGGTAGCAGCAGCAAGCAAGCAAACCTTTCAAGCATCAGCAGTCAGCAGCAGCACACATCCACAGCAGCAACAGTTGCTTGTGCTTGTGTATCCCACGCACGGGTCTCCTCAAACCTGTCAGCTGTGGCGCAGGGATCAGCGCTTGCGAAAAGGGGAAGCAGTGGCAGCGGGCGTTGGCGCTACTCAGCGAGATGCGGGAGGCGAAGATGGAGCTCGACGTCATCATCTTCGCAATTGTGGGGCCCGCGCGTGCGGGAAAGGCTCCTATCTTGGCCGCCGCCCGATGGCCCAAACAGGACCCCAGCCAGGCAGCGCAGAGACCCGAGCGGGCGGAGCTTGCCGACGGTCCAGGGTCCCCAAAGCCGAGGCGACAGCCCCGGGCACCTCCACGAGGCCCCCGCACGCGCCCGGCAGGCCCAACCCGAGGCCCCATCCTTGCTCGGCGCGGTGCTTCCCAGAGGCGAACTTCGCTGAATTCCTGCAGGCGTTGAGTTTCTGTGTTGCATTCTCCCCCTCTTGGCTCCAGAATGGCTCACTGGGCAAGCGGCCGTCAGATTCCCAAGGGTACCGAAGCACAGCCCAAGATGGCCCGAGGCTTCGAGGTAGCCCAAGGTGCCCCCAAGGATAGCTTCAAGACGCCCCACGAAAAAGGCATCACGACAGGACGAGCTGCCGATCGCAACACGAGGCAGCACAGCCAGCAGCATCGGTAGAGCGAGCAGCAGAGGCTGAGATGCAAATGCCAGCAATCTGAAGCATAAACCCACGAAAGCGCCAAGTGGACCCCAAGGGGGCAACGATATGGAGTCAAGGCTCAAGACTGGACAAGCAGGCGCACGCAGCAACCAAACAGAAGAGCAAGCAGCGGCAGAGTTCACAGCAGCAGCAGCAGCCAGCAAAAGGCTTTCATGATCACGCTAGGTAGGAGCCCAACGTTATCATGAAAGCTTTTGGCAGCCTCTCGCCCCCTGACGTGCCGGTCAAGACATGTTTTGTGGACGGTTAGTCCACAGGTCAATCTTAGTCATAGTAGTCGTTCCAATTCTGGGGCAAGTGCGTGCGGGAAGGGTCTTTGTCTCAACGGGTCGTCGGGCCTTCCTGGGGCTCCGAGAGGTCCAGACCCGCCCAGAGAGCCCCAGGAGGTCGTGCTGACGGTCTCCAGGGTTCCCCGCAGCCTGGGCCCAAGAAGTTTCCACGAGGCGTCAGCACACGCCTCACAGGCCCCACCCGAGGCCCTACGCGGCCCCACCTCAGCTCCGCGCAGCGCAACCCCAAGGCGGAAATCGGTAGTTCCCTCTTTCCCCAACTAGGCTTGCAAACGGGGTTCTTACGGTCGGACCGAGGTGGCAGATCGAGGTCGGCTCGGGGAGGGTGCCCTAAGTGTTCTTCGTGTATCTGTTGGACGTTCTTGTGCATCATGGGGAGAGTACCCTTGGATATTCTGCTCGTCTTGGCCGACGGAGGGCCTCAGGTTCTCGAGGGACGTTCTTCTGGCCTGGTTGGTTCCGACTGCACTTGCCTGGTGAAAGACGCCGGTGGGTGCGAAGTCGGTTGGGTGGCCCCCGGCGTTCGTCGGGACCCTGGGTCCCGGTTCGCTGGCGGGCTCCTCGGGTTCTCTGGTCAAGGCTCCCTCCCTCCTTCCTCTCTCGGGCTCCTGGACCTGGGGGCCTCGCCTTCCCTGGGGCCCGCAGTCTGGTTCCTTGGGCCTTGGGCTGCTCGCCCCCGTCCCTTGCCTGCGTTCCTCGAGGCTCCTCGGCTTCATCGCCTGGGGTCCTTCGGGCTCCTCGCCTGGTGTCCTTGCTTGGGTTCTTCGGGTTCCTCCAGCAATGCCGAGCAATGCCAAGCAACGACAAAGCAACGACAAAGCAATGCAAAGCGTGCCAAGCAATACCAAGCAACGCAAAGGAGTGAACACCAAGGCCACGCAATGCTAAGCGCTACGCAACGCCAGGCAATGCAGCTGCCGAACAATACCAAGCATTGCTTTGCATTGCTGCGAGCTGCTTTGGCTTCGCCACAACAACGGCCCCTAATTGGGGTCGCACCGGGTTCATGTTTTGTTCAACAAAATGTCCGAATTCTGCCATTCCGAATCCAGAGGGCCCCGAGACAACCAAGAGGCTTCCAAGAAGATCCACGAAGCCCACACGAGCCCACACGAGGGCCGGAAGACGCCCCGAAGGTGGCTCACGAACGCTTCGATTCATCTCTAGGATGGCCCGACAACGGCTCCCAGATGGCCCCCGTATCATGCAGCGGACAAAACCAGCATATCACACCAAGGATTCGACCTGGGCAAGAAGAAGTCGCGGGCTCGAGCAAGAGAAGGGATCTGCCCACCATGGGTTTCGTCCACGGCTTCGCACTGGTCAGCTACAACGCTGGGATCAGCGCGTGCAAGCAGGGCAAGCAGTTGCAACTGGCGTTGGCGCTGTTCAGCGACATGCGGGGGGCGAAGCTGGAGCCCGACGTCATCTCTCTCTCCCTCTCTCTTTCTGTCTTTCTCTCCTCATGCCAGGGTCAGCGTGCGCGAAAAGGGCGGGGGAGCAGGTAAAAGAAATTAGGCCCGGCGCGCCCCTGGATAGCCCCAGGATGCCCCTACAGTCAGTGGAATATCGAAGACGCCTACGGCGAATCACCGCCGCCCCCTGCCTTTTTGGAAACGCCGATGTGGCCGAAAGTTGGACTAGAGCTTGGCCAAGCTATCGGACCATGAGTTCCCCGAGTCGGTTTGGAAAGCTTTCGGGGAACACATGGGAGAGAATGATTATGAACAGGAAGAGGAAGAGGAAGAAATAGAGTAGGAGGATGAGGGTTGTTAGGAGTCTCTTGGGGCACCCTTGGGGTCTGTTGGGGGCTTCTTGGGGGCCTCTTCGAGGCCTCTTGGAGGCATCTTGGGGGCCTCCTTGGGCCTCTTGGGGGCCTTTGGGGGCTTCCTGGGGGTCTCTTTGGCCGTCTTAGGGCGTTCCTGGTCCGTCTGACGCCGTCTGGAGCCGTCTTGGGGGCCTCTCTGGGCCGTCTTGGGGCCCTCTTGGGGCGCTTCAGGGCCGTCTTGGAGGCCATGTTGGGCGTCTTGGAGGCCTCTTGGGCCGTCTTGGGGCGCTCTTGGGGCCGTCTTGGGGGGCCCTTGGGCCGTCATAGGGCCTTCTTGGAGGCCTCTTGGGCGATCTTGGGGGCCTCTTGGGCCGTCGGAAGGCCGAAAAGAAGAAAACGCAAAAAACCTTCAAAAACCTAAGGAAAACCAATGATTTTGGCCTCTTCGGGCTCTCCTGGAGAACGTCTTGGAGGCCTCTTGGGCCATCTTGGAGGCATCTTGGGGCCATCTTGGCCGTCTTGGAGGGCATCTTGGGCCGTCTTGGAGGCATCTTGGAGCCATCTTACCCGTCTTGGAGGCCATCTTGGCCGTCTGGGAGGCATCTTGGAGGCCATCTTGGGCCATCTTGGCCGTCTTGGAGGCCATCTTGGGCCAAGTTGGGGCAACAAAGGCATTGACAGACGGATTTTGGGAAAATTGCGGGTGGCCGGCGGGACGGGCCGAAGCCCACTGGGGAGTTCTTTTAGAAAAAGAACCAAAACCAAAACCTGAAACATCCAGCACGCCGTGCACCCCTGCAAGCAGGGGGCGGCGGATCTAGTGGCCTTCGGCCCATCCCGCCACCGCGCCTGGGTTGTAGGTCAGAGGCCTCTTGGATGCCTGCGAGAATCGCTTGGGAGGCCTCTCGGATGTCTCTTGGAGGCGGCTTTGGAGGTGTATTGGGTCGTCTTGGGGGCCGCTTGGGCCTGACTTGGGCCTCTCGGGCCCTCTTGGGGACCTCTTGGAGAGGGCTCAAAATGTCGGTTCGTGTTCCCCCTCTTGGGCCCGTCGTGGGGCCATTTTGGGCCCCTCATGGGAGTTCTCGGGCCATTTTGGGGTGATCTTGGGCACCTCTCCGGGCCGTCTTGGACACTCTGAAGACCGAAAAGGCGGTAATGCGAAAATTAGGAAAGTGCGCCAGTGGATCTCCCTGAATACACTAAAGGGGGGAGAGGGGTTCGGACCCCCCCCGGGGGGAGGTCCGAACCCCCTCCCCCCCCTCCCCCCCTTAGGGGGGAGGGGTCCCGAACCGCCCCCCCCTCCCTTTAAGGGGGCGGGGGTCCGGAACCCCCCTCCCCCCTCCCCCCCTTGGCGCTGGAAAGGGGGGGGGGTCGGACCCCCCCCCTCCCCCCCTTTGCGCCGGAAAGGGGTCCAGGGAGGGGGGGCCTCTCTCGCTTCTCCTTTCTGCGCCCGAGAAGGTGTGTAGGGAGTACGGAGTTGGGAGTAGGGAGTGGTGAGTAGCGAGTAGTGAGTAGTGCGTTGGTGAGTAGTGGGTAGTGAGTGGCGAGTAGGGAGTAGGGAGTGGGAAGTAGTGAGTAGTGAATAGTGAGTAGTGTGTACTGATAAGTGAGTAGTGAATGGCGAGTAGTGACTAGTGAGTAGTGAGTGCCGAGTAGCGAGTAGTGAGTACTGAGTAGGAGGTAGGGAGTAGTGAGTAGTGGGTAGTGAGTAGTGGGTAGTGAGTAGTAGGTGGCTGGTAGTGATTAGTGAGTAGTAAGTAGTGGCTAGTGCGTAGTGCGTAGTGAGTAGTGAGTAGTGAGTAGTGGGTAGTGAGTAGTGAGCAGTCAGTAGTGAGTAGTGAGTAGTGAGTAGTGGGTAGCGAGTAGTGAGTAGTGAGTAGTGAGTACTGAGTACTGAGTACTGAGTAGTACGTAGTGCGTAGTGAGTAGTGAGTAGCGAGTAGTGATGAATAGAGAGTAGTGGGCAGTGGCAGTGGGTAGTGAGTAGTGAGTAGGGAGTAGGGGATAGCGAATAATGAATAGTGAGGAGCGAGTAGGGCGTTGTGAGTAGTGAGTAGAGAGTAGTCAGTAGTGAGCAGTGGGTAGTGATTAGTGAGTAACGAGAAGGGAGTAGCGAATAGCGCGTAGGGAGTAGGGAGCTGTGAGCAGTGAGTAGTAAGAAGAGGGTAGCGAATAGTGGGTAGTGAGTAGCGACTAGTGAGTAGTGAGGCGTGGGTAGTGAGTAGTGACTAGTGAGTTGTGACTAGTGACTAGAGACAATGTAGTGACTAGAGAGTATGGAGTACTGATTAGTGAGTAGTCAGTAGCGGGAAGTGGGTAGTGAGTAGTGGGTAGTGAGTGGCGAGTAGGGAGTAGGGAGTAGGGAGTGGGGAGTAGTGGTAGTGAATAGTGAGTAGTGTGAACTGATAGCTGAGTAGTGAGTGGCGAGTAGTAGCGAGTAGTGAGTACTGAGTAGGGAGTAGGGAGTAATGAGTAGTGGGTAGTGAGTAGTGGGTAGTGAGTAGTGGGTGGCGACTAGTGATTAGTGAGTAGTAAGGAGTGGGTAGTGCGTAGTGAGTAGGGAGTAGTGAGTAGTGAATATTGAGTAGTGAATAGTTGGTAGTGAGTAGCGAGTAGTGAGTAGTGAGTAGTGAGTAGTCAGTACTGAGTAGTACGTAGTGAGTAGTGAGTAGCGAGTAGTGATGAATAGAGAGTAGTGGGTACTGGCAGCGGGTAGTGAGTAGTGAGTAGCGAGTAGGGAATAGCGAGTAGTGAGTAGTGAGGAGCGAGTAGGGTGTAGTGAGTAGTGAGTAGTGAGTAGAGAGTATTCAGTAGTGAGTAGTGGGTAGTGATTAGTGAGTAACGAGTAAGGAGTAGCGAGTAGTGAGGAGTGAGTAGGGAGCAGGGAGTAGGGAGTAGTGAGCACTGAGTAGTAAGAAGTGGGTAGCGATCAGTGGGTAGCGAGTAGCGATTAGTGAATAGTGAGTAGTGGGTAGTGAGTAGTGCCTAGTGACTAGTGACTAGTGAGTTGTAGCTAGTGACTAGAGACTACGTAGTGACTAGAGAGTAGGGAATAGTGAGTAGTGAGTAGTGAGTAGTGAGTAGTGAGTAGCGGGGAGTGAGTAGTGAGTGTTGAGTATCGAGTATGGGAGTAGCGAGTAGTGAGTACTGAGTACTGTGTAGTCAGTACTGTGTAGGAGTAGCGAGTAGCGAGTAGTGGTAGTGAGTAGTGATTTATGGGCAACGAGTAATGAGTAGTGAGTAGTGAGTAGAGGATGGTGGGTAGTGGGCAGTGAGTAGCGGGGAGTGAGTAGTGAGTAGGGAATAGTGAGTAGTGCTTAGTGAGTAGTGAGTATTGAGTAGTGGGTAGTGAAGAGTGAGTAGTGAGTACGGAGTAGGGAGGAGGGAGTAGTGAGTAGGGAGTAGTGAGTAGCGAGTAGTGTGTGGTGGGTAGTGAGTAGTGGATGGTGAGTAGTGGGTCGTGAGTAGTCAGTAGGGGGTAGCGAGAAGTGAGTAGCGAATAGCGAGTAGCCAGTAGTGGGTAGTGAGTAATGAGTAGTGAGTACTCTTTGGGGCTGGGGTTAGTGGTTGGGGTTAGGATTATGGGTTTGGGTTAGGGTGAGGACTAGGGGTAGGGGTGGCGGGGGTCGGGTTCCGGAGTCAGGGGGCGGCGTGGCGAAAAGAAGGGAGAGGGGGGGCGGGTTGCGGCCAAAGGGGGGGAGGGGTCGGTGGTTCGGACCCCCCCCTTTTGAAAGGGGGGGAGGGGGAGAGGGGGTTCCCCGACGACGGATCGGGGAAACGGGAGGAGGGGAGGGGGGGTCCCCGACGACGGATCGGGGAATGGGGGGGAGGGGGGGGGGGTCCCCGACGATGGATCGGGGAAGGGGGGGGGAAGGGGAGCGGTTCACCCTCCCCCCCCTTGGGGAGATCCAGCGGCGCACCCTCGAAAATTAGCTTGGCGAAGGACCCAACCATATGCAGGTGTGAGTACCGCATCCGTGAGTATCGTTTTCGGTAGAGCTCCCTATGTGGCCACGAACGCCGTACTGGGTGGGGGAGACGCATGCAAACACCGCCATTGGGCATCTTGGGGCAATTTTGAGGCATCAAATGCGCATCCGACACGAAAAAGCGAGAAGGCAAGAATCATTGTGTCCCCGTAGGTGTTCAAAGGGTGTTGGCCTCTTTGGGGGGTCCTGAGGGCGCTCCGAGAGTACTTGGAACCCCTTTGGAGCGGCCTTTGGGGCCTATTGGAGTGGAAGCCATCTGGAGCCATCCTCATCGGGAAGAATTTTGGAGGCTATCTTAGAGCATCGGAGGCCCTCTTGGAGCCACGTTGGGCCATCTTGGGCGCCCTGACCGCTCGCGGACACAGCCTCAGGGAGGAGAGTGAGAGGGTTACCCATCCCCGAAGGGAAGACAGCTGTGGAAGATAGAAGACAGATATCGATAGACCACCTCCGCCCACAGGGCTGGCGGGAGTCAACACACATCTAGCAAGACTGCACGCCCGACCCAGCATCAGCAGCACTTTGCAGCTACAAGCAGCATCAGCACGCAGCAGCGGTAAGCAAGCATTACGAACAACACGCGGCAGCGGCAGCAAGCAGCAGCACGCAGTAGCAGGCGCGGAATGCGAAGTTCTAGATCCACATCAGCACGTTAGCCTCGGCAGCA